AGTGCAGTTTTTCATTAGTGGCAGCTACATATCTTTCTACATATTTTTCTTTCAATGCAATTGAAAGTTTTTCATAGTAAGGGTGGTGAGGCACAGGCACAACCTTCCCAGAGAGGTGGCATCTCTAGTTGGTATAGGATGTTCATTGCTTTTTATTGTTGTTATTTTTCTGTTGTAAGCATTATTGCTTATTTTGTGGAGCACAATCCTCAGTTTCCTCTAAATGCCAGACAAGTCATTGATTAGACCATTTTTAAAGGATAGTGGTTCTCCCTTTGCAAATTGCATAGCTACTGAGCTTATGTACTGTGAGGATTTCATGTTAAGGTTTAGGTTTATCCAAATCCAGGGAAACAAAGCTTAGCTATTAAGTTTTTGTGGATCCCTTTAGTGGATCTGACCATGCAGGGAATTGTCAACATTAGAAATAAAAATCAATTGGAAAAAAAAAAAGAAAAAAAAAGGCAACTTCAAAAAATAATGTTTTCTGCCTTTAAAGCTTAGGTATTACTGATAATACCTAATTTAGGAAAAGCTCAGGGAATTTAGGAATTTAGGAAAAGCTCAGGGAAATATTATTTGCTTCTAGCTGCATGTACACAAATATTAATGGACTGCTATGATCTTTTGTTGAGCAGTTTAAATTCATTTTTGTACTTCTTTGGAAAAAAAGCTTTTTTTTTTTTTCATGTTCTCTCGACAAGAAAGGAATATGGAACGAATTGTTTGATGTTTGCTAGATTCTGAACATGTGGAATTACTCACTTTTTTTCAGCTTTTTTCTGACCAGCAACAATGGTAAATAAAGCTATTGGGGAAAAGCTTACATAGTAAAACAACATAGCCAGTTTCTCAGTATATGTTTGATAGAACACTGGTAATGCACAATATGATTTATTTACATAAAACTTTAGTCTGTTGTGCCTGTGAACAGAAACGTTTAGTCTTTTATACTGTTACAGCAATGCTAAATTTAACATAACTGTAATCCTGGTAAAAATGAATCTGATGAATCAGATCATTCCTGTAAGGGCATCAGGATTTCCATTAATTTTGCACTGATGTTTTTAAAAACAAATTAGCAGGTAGTTTTTATTGTATTGTACTGACCTCTTGACCTCTATAAACTCAGCTGGCTTCAGATGGAATTTGCTGTTTTCATGGTTAAGAAAATGCTATCAGTGAAAATGCATGTTTTGCTAAGGAGCATAGTTGGATAGTCTTGCCTGGTGTGCCAGCTGTGAATTTGTATCCTGATAGCACCAGCAGCCATGGCTGGATTCTATGTACTACCAGAGTACCTAGAAGTATGGAAGAGTAAATATTTGCTTGCCAGATTGGATCAGTTGCATTTACAATCAGTATTTTCAATTTATATGTTTGGTTTCATTTAGATTGGGCATTCTTTTAAGAACTAGAGAAGATTAAGGTGTATAAGAAACTATAAAGCCTTTGAATTAAATGTGAAATCCTGTATTGTGAGTTGTTCTGAAAGCATTCTGCTCAAACTAGAAATGTTTGGTTGAACTTTTTCAAGACAGGCTGCATAGTTTATATTATTGCCTGAACACAAAACTTCCATTAAAGTTTGCAAATAACGTATATCTGAACAACCACATCAGATAACAACAGGCAGAGAACTGCAGTTTGACACATGGCAAGTTTTTGCTGTGCTTAATGCTGATTCATGTGCGTGCAAGAGAAGAGAGGAAACGATGAGTGCTGTCATCAGCTGAAACCAAGGGGAAGTTTTCTGCAGTCGAAACTGATAAAACGGATTGTGATTTAGCATGCTTGGTGTTAGTCTACTAGATGAAAGAACTTTATTTTTTGTGGATCATTTATTCATTCAAAAATAATTTCAAAGCACTAGAAACTATCTGCCTCTAATTATGGCCTACCAAAGATAAATACATACATACATACATGCATTCCCCTGGATGGTTCACTTTAGCATATCCACAGTGAAACATTTTAGTTTGAGGATGGGTTTGCAAGATGGAGGAAAAACAGTGATAACAATACTATCATTACTTCTCCTGAGAAACTTCCCATGATTAAAACAAACAAACAAACAGAAAAACACAGAAAGTCAAGGTCTGGTGAGATGGGAGACTGCACTGTCAAGTCTTTGCTTGTTGGTCTATTTTGAGCTCTAATGCCCTATTTATGACTAATTGTTTGTAGTTGTTTTAATCACAGTATCAGAAATGTTTTAGTATTAGTTGGCAAATGTGCCATGTGTTCAAAATTTAAAGCATTATTTTTAAAAAGCAGGCCATGCCAATTTTTGTGATTCATTAGGAAGCTTACCAATATCACTTTTTCATATAAGCCCATCTTAATTATAAGATCATTAGGGTATTCATTTGGAAGCTGTTGTGTATATTTTCTGAATTCAAAGCTCTTAGAAGGCTGAAGCCTAATGATTTTCAATTGAGTTACATAGACATGTATTATTTCCTACCTTTTTTCCTTTAAGGATTTTTTTTTTTTCTCTATAAATAAAACCGCTCGGGTGTCTTGATATATGGATTCATTTTGCTGAAATTCTATTCTTATACATGATCTGTGAATGTTTCGTGGGAAAACATTTTGGAATACGCAGAGATGATCAGATCACATGTAAGGATTTTTCAGAAATGGATTAAGTACCACCCACAGAGTTTTGTCTTATTTTGCTCAACAGAAAACAAAGATGAGCAATTATGGTTTGCTGCTTATGACATCATTTATAAGCTGAATTTAATTTTCTACTGAACATCCGCTTGGTAATGTCATGGTAATAACTTCCTATTGATTAATTAAATCTGCTCCTTCTCCTCCTTGCTTGTAACTCACATGAGTTTGTCCAAATGTGAGTCTATTTTATTACTAAAGAGCTATGAATGGAAACAATGTATACATTTTAATTTTCTTCTTAGTTTACTCCAAAGTAACAATTTTAAATTGTTACCTTATTCAAATTTATTCTCTTACAGTAAGGAACAGCTCAGAAGTTTTACAGAATATCATGGGTTGTTTTTGTTTTTGTTTTTAATTATGAGGCATTTTTACAACATTCCTGGCAATTTATGTTATTTTTATGTACTTGAGAATTAACTATCCCCTAGGACACTGAATTTGCAAAGCAGTATGCCATAAGCAAAGCCAAACAGTATTGGTTGGTGTTTAAATATAGTTACATAGGTTGCTCCAAAAGTAACTACAACAGATACCAAGAGCACAGTAACACTGTTTAATAGAGCAAGACTCAGCCTCAAAACATAGTCACAACCATTAGCTATGCATTTTCCCCAACAACGAATAAGAGCCTGCATGCAACGTTCATAAAAATCTGCACCAGCAGAGGCAACCCACTGTTTCACAGCTGATATGACAGCACTGTTGCTATGAAAATGTTGCCCATACAGTCCATCTTTCACTGGCCTTAACGGATGGAATTCAGAAGGCACCAAATCTGGACTGTACTGTGGGGGTGAAAAGACTGTCCAGCCAAGACTGACAATATGTTTCATGGTATTCAAATTAGTATGGAACTTTTCAAAGGATGTCTACAAAAAAAATATTGTACCAACTGGATGTTTTTCAGTGGCACTTTCCACTTCTCTTTTTCAATTGTCTGCATTTCATAAGGCACATGATAATCAAGCAGGCAATGTGTCCCATCTAACCCGTCTCCAGGCTGAGTGTACTCAAGAGAAAACATTCTTGACAGAGAATCATCCAACTTGCTTATAAGTCTCCCATGCCCTTGGTGACTCATGAACATACCTTGGTAATCCTATAAAGGCTTGCCACTAATTCTGTCTAATAATTTACATTCTACAGAATTATTTTAGAGACTTAAGAGACCATTTTTAATGGTTCACAATGATTTTTAGACTTGTACTTGAAAAATCTATTCAGCTTTACATCTGAATACAATACAATAAGTATTTTGAGTATGTTGTAGACATTGTGTATTTTAAACACATCAGATAAGATTAAAGTTTCCTTTTTTTTTGCTCAGTACATGGATACTTTCATCAGCACTCAAGATATTTCAGAGAAACTGCTAAACTGGAATTACTTATTTTATAATAGTTGCAGATATTGCAAATATAATTAGAGATAATAAAATTTGATTGTCTGTTTCTTTCAACTTTTGTTTATTTTTATACTATCTGAAGGTAGAAGTTCAGAGAAATTGCAAAAGGATTAATAAATCAGGAAAAGTTTTTATGAGGGATCCTCTAAAGAATTAGTGATGATTTATCCTATCCTGACTCAAAAGGGCCTTTAAAACTTCAAGGCACAAATAAAAGCAGAAGTGATTGGGAAGATCATGCTCTTTCACTTACCCTGAAGCAATATTTATACAGCAAAGTTATTTCCCTCGTGACATGGTGTGGATCTTTTCTGTTTTCTTTTCCTGTTTCCTGAAGAAATTGGTTCTCAAAAAAGTAATGCAACTAAATAAACATCTAAAAGCTACTTTTTTGTTCTTTTAGGCAGAAAACTCATACCAAAGAGAAGTTTCATACTATGAAGTTGAGTGGAACCCTTGTGATCATCTAGTCACATATGGAATTTTCATCCATATGACTGCTTTGAATGAATTCCTTTGTGAGCTAGAGATATCTTTTTGAATTAAACTCAGGGCAGCAATAGTATTTGAGATTTAATTCAAGCTCTAGAAATAATGCATTTAGTTCTTCAATCAAATACCTGAAAATTGGTTGTGTTGAAATCATTCGTAAAGACTGCTGAGATTTCTCAGTACATCATGTGTGATTATTGCCTCATCTATCACAGCTGAAACTACCTCTTAGGTCAGAAGGAGTTGAAGTGTTGTGAATTGGATGTGGTACAAGAAGCAAAGCTGAAGGCCATTGTGTGTACATGTGCAAATATTTTAAAAAATATAAAAACAAATCTTTCTGCTGATTTTCGTGTATTATTCCAATTAAATTAAGACAAGGGCAACTGAATATTCAAATGGTGTTTCTTTATTTAAGGATGATGTCAGCAATGAAGATTTGCAGTATCCCTCTGCTTCGGTGTTAGCAACAAGTTCAAAGAGGAAGTCTGAGAATGAGAGTGAATCAGTTATGCATAATGTGGACAAGAAAATAGGCATCTCCCCATCCCTGGGTAATGCTCTGGAGAACATTGTGGAACAGCTGGATGTTTTGACTCTCGTAAGTATGCAACAACAGATAGCTCTCACAGTGGAAAATAATAATTTTATCAATGGTGAAGAAAACAGGAACTATGCTTGTAAATCAGAATGTTAAAGTCTGTAGGCTTGAATGATTATATAGTCAAATGACTGTTTTGTTTCTTGCCTTTCAGCAAACACTGATTGCACGTGTTGGGTTTCCTAAAGTAAAAGCTTCCTGCTACATAATCGTAAAGATTATTATTGTGTTTTTAACTGTAGAAGAAAAAAAGTCACTATTTTTCAATAGTGAGATCTAATGTGGATTCGCCAGAAGCCAGTTGTTGTGTTGACATTGTCAAATTCCAGCTTGAACAGTCATGCATTAGTAGGGGATGAACAAAGTAAATTGGCAACGTACCGTTAAATCCTTCTTCAAACTCAGTGCTCAAGATATTGGCTTAGGTAGGAATCTATGCAGTGGAATAATTCCAAGTGTCAGTGAAACAGCACAAATGTTAGTCTCTGTCAGTAACTCTGAGTTGCTTGTTTGCAAAAGCACAATACTTATTTTTGGTGATCCAAATTCAGACAATTTATGCCTTAATACACTACTCTGTGGTCTGGAATGTATTAACATTAATCATTAATAGGAGTGGTTAAGATTTTTTCTTAATTCTTCTGCAATATGTACCTTAACTGAAGAAATATGTTTTGAAAAGTTTGGAGTCAAAGCATCAGTTGAAAATTATTTGTGAGGTAAGTTGGATTGGGAAGAAACTGTCAGCCTGTGTCCAGGAATCTACCCTTCTTGAGGAAGATGGTCTCTTGGGGAATGCCTTTTAATATTGTTTTTTTTCACACTTCATTTATTTTTTATATCTTTAAAGTTTCTTTTAGGTTTTTGGAAGACATCATTTGCGGTTGCTGTTTATGGCTGTTTTTATATTGCAATATGGAGACAGCTTTCACATAGTATTTCTGAGTAATTTTTATGTGCACATAAATATTGTACACATATACAGCTTTTTTTTTTTCATGAAAACAATTTAAAACCTTTAGACAGTCTTCATAGATACAAATCCATCATTCTTAAATACAGTTGTAAACAGTGGAACAGCTAGGGCAAAGCCATCTTTAGGCTATTTTTTTGTTGAGTTAAAAGGATTTTTTTTAATGTTACCATTTTGCACACTGTTGTAGTACTGTGTGAATGATATAAAAACATACTGAAGCTATTGCTACTGTCCTCCTCATGTAGACAATTTCAATCCTGGAACAACGGCTGACTTTGACTGAAGATAAGTTGAAAGAATGCTTAGAAAATCAGCAAAAAATTTTACCTCAGGGAAGACAGGAAGAATAAAAGATGAAAATGAACTGCATTGATTAGTATGTTTTGTATTTTCACAAGGAAATAATAAATTTTGCTTCATTAGATTTAACTATAAGTGGAAAAAAATTCCTTTTCTGCTCATCTATGTAATAAAAACTGAAGAAAAAAAATTGTATTTTAAACGTTGGTAGCAAGCAGACACTTTGGTTATACATTTAGTAAAGTGTAGCCTAGCCAAAAGTAATATCAGCCAAAAGTAGCATCAAAAGTAGTATCCAACTGAATGTTTTTAATTACAGGACTCTTATTTCAGCCTAATAAGATCTTTAAATTAAACAACAAGATCTATGTTTTTAGATAAAAAACACTTGCCATGGAAGTGAACTATGCAGATTTTTCAACTCAGGTAGGGGCTGTGAAAGCAATGCTCATTGTTCTAAGGCAATATTACTCTAGCACACAAATTAAATGAGGTCCAAGTACCCCTATCTGCTTAAGTGCTGGAAGTTTTCTTTGTCTCTTATGGACTGTCAGATATTTTACCAATAGCTTATGACAGTTACTCTTCATCTTCTACATATTTTAGTGATGACTGCAAGAAGATCTATTGTAATAAATTTTAGTTACAAATATAAAGTCATGTAAATGTTGAAACAATGATTGTGTGCGTGAATTCAGATGCAGGACATGTGGTGTTGCACTTCTACTCATCCAGCAGAATTCATTTTTCATTTTTAGTAAAATAAGAACTAGCTCCATATTTCTGAGGAGCATATCTGAACCAAGCACACAGTGACTCAAAGTCTCTATCACAAATACAAAAGATCCCCATCCTCCAAGGACTTCCACAGGTGCTCACGTTTCTTGTGCTATGAATTCTCCTCATCATTTAATGCATTATGAATTAAGCCACAATCATTAAAGACATTGTGAGTCAGTTTGCCATGTATAATGAATTTTGGTTTTATTTGTAATAAAAATGCAATTTTTAGAAAGGCATAATTGTAGGTATTGTTCTTCAGTAGAGAACATCTCTGCTTCTTTATGTCTACCTATTACTTTTTTAAATGGCAATTTAAACACCTTTTGTATATCCACAATCAAAAGTAAGTAGTCATCCCTTTCTGCAACTTCACATTTTGTAGGTTGAAAAAATAGGACACTTGAAATGGGGGGAGCATCTTAATCCAATTCTGCAACTGACTGTATATAGATAAAGCCCATTTCCCAAGCTGAGCCTCATTAACATCAATAGAATTCAGCTTAAGTACAGGAGTACCATGCAAACACCACTGCAGTTGGAGCCAACATAATGAGCAGTCAAATGTTCTTTTATAACTTTTTATTTTCTCTTATAATACACCTTTGGATAGCCAGAAGTCATATCAGTTAGTAATTAGTAAACGCTGAATTTTGCCAACAAGTGCCACTTATTTTCAGCTCAGCTTTAAATAGTGCTGTATATTGTGAAGGAACAACTTACAAGCTTTCCAGATATGACTATTTCTATGCAACAGCCTATGCACTGATTTTTTAGTGGAAGGATAGTCTTACATATTCCAATGTGTGCAGCCTGACCTTTGATTATGCAATTGTTTATAACGCTATATAATGCAGAGTTATGTAAATACTGTCTTTTAGGTCAGATGTACTTTGTTGTTTTGCATTTGGAAATATTCTTGTGGTCTTTGCCTTTTCTTGGTTTCATTACAAGGCACAAAACCATGAAGCTGTTAAAAACTTGGGCTTATTTCTTGTCTTCTTTTAATGGACTACATATTTTTTTATTTCTGTATCAATTGGATTTTTTTTTTGTTGTTAAGCTTTTCAGGATTATTTATTAACAACATATGAAAAAACATTTTTTTTTTACATTGTATTTTAATAAAATCTCTGCTTCTGTCTTCCCTTCTGCCTTAACTCTGCCTTCTTCCTTTTCAGTATGTATACAGTGGGAGCATTTAATACTTATGTGTGTGAATCTGGTGAATTAATGTAACATTCACAAATTAATGTATATTATTTTCATTCGATCAGGTAGTCTGTTGATACTGAAATGCTCAGAATGCCTGACACCTGGGATATCTGTACAATTAGAGTTGATAGTTTGATAAAAGTGTGGAGATATTTTCCTCAAGCTGTGAGAGCTCTCCTAAAATAAAACCAATACCAGCTAACACGTTTTTTCAAAGGAACTTTGACATGGGCTATTAGCCTTTTTTTCTTGATCCATATATGTAAGGCTACAGAATAAAAAACTTCCTTTCAAAGTGGCTGAATTAGCTGCTTAAACTCTTCAAAGCAAGTATTCTCAGTACTGCAAGGGTGGCTGAATACCAGTTAAAAAAAATAATAGTTGTGTCTGAATGGCATGCTTCAAAGTGTGGTAGGTCCCTGATGTTTGTGTGTGAGCATGGCAGAAAAAATAGCCCTGCCTGAGTCCCCTCGAAGATTTGCCGGGGGAACAGAGCTGCAAGTTCATAAAGTTTCATAGTGTTAGGAAGTAGCTTAGCAACTCATCTTAGATAATTCTGCTGAGATTTCCAATCAAAGCAAAAAATGCTTTGTGCGAATTGAAAGAAATGCTGTTGGCTGCTGCTGTGTCTTAAGTTCCGTTTGTAATTCCTATCAAAGTTTAGTCATTAATTTTAATGGAGTTCCTATCCCAAGCATGGTGTACAGCATGATACTGAAGCAATCAAAGTATTTTTCTGAGTTTTTTACTTTGGATAACCCCATGTCATCTCTTTTGAAGCACATGTAGAGGTACCGGACTCTCACCATGGGCTAGACACCAAGTGGCTCATACTGCAACATGGGCCTGGAAGGCACTTCTTCTAATATAAATGTACAGGTTTTCAAATGCCTAGGCAAAACCAGGCTGGAACATTAATCTATGCCAATAATCAATTGTGCATTATGGACCAGCCTGACAACTCAAACACTATTTTGGGTTTTCTCTCACTCTCCGTCTTTTTTTTTTTTTTTTAATTTATTTTTATTTTATTTTGACCATATCCGTACATTCTCCAAAAATCTCCATTGTTTACTTTTTGCTGTTGCTGCCATGTCTTCTAAAGCCCTAGTGTTTTGGAAAACCAGTTCCTGGAGATGAATGTATCAGAACAACTCCCCATCTTGTTTATTGCTTTTATGCATGTAAGATAACAATTCATTGTTTCATTATCATAATCATTATCATGAGAAACTTAAACTACAGGCTTACAATCTGATTAAACTTACCTCTGGGGTGGAAAAAATGGTAGTAGACACATTTCTCCTAACCATTTCCCTGTAGCATGACTTATTCCAGAAATATAAATTGCCATCTTTATTTGAATAATTAAGTGTGCTGTACTATTTTTAAGATAAACAGTTATGTCTTTTTCTTCCTAGAAGTCTTTTCACAGGGTTACTGAGTTATTTTAGTTGCTGTATCGCAGCGCAGAAACACTGAATTGAGAGTAGCAGGGATCAGAACGTATTTCCAAGGACATAGCTTTATGTAACCTGTTTACCCTGTAAGACTTGTAAAAATCAGAAATTCTGTACTCTCTGCCCCAAACAATTAATGAATATGTATGTTCACATTGGATCCAGGAACAGTATGTTTTTGTCAGAGTGCCCCCTCAGGGACTTTTGCACGCTTCGGATGCATAATACAATTGAAGCCGTTTCTTTGTGAGAAAATAGGTTAATAACTTGCCAAAAGGCAGATGTTAATTGGAAAAAGTGCAGACAAGTCCTTTCCTTTACAATGTATATGGATTGTGTTTGTTATGACTTGCATCCAAGAACAGGTGCAGTTTCAATTGACTCAGCTAACAGGATGTGCTGAGTGCACTCCTCTCCAATTGTACTATAATTTTTAAATCCAGCGGAAAAATATAGTTTCCAAACTAGTCAGTGAGTGGTAAGCTGCATCTTGTACCTGTGTTACAAAACATTTACAATGTATTATTGAATGCGGACTTAAGCATCTTAGTTACACAAAAATAATACCCTTGTTTATTCATCAGTGCTGAAGAATTTTACTGGTGGGGAATTTTACAAGACAAAATGTGTCTTCCCTTCCAAAGTGTTTATTTCCTAAGAGATAAAGCAGTTCTAGATGAGGTAGTGTGCCCAGCAGCGTGCACTTGCATCCCAGAAGACCAACTGTGCTCTGGGCTGCATTAAAAAAGGGTTGGCCAGCAAGGAGAGGGAGGTGATTGTCCCCCTCTACTTGACTCTTGTGAGGCCCCATCTGCAGTACTGCGTCCAGGCCTGGGGGCCCCAGTACAGGAAGGACGTGGAGCTCTTGGAGCGGGTCCAGAGGAGGGCATTAAGATGATAAGAGGGCTGGAGCACCTCTACTACGAAGAAAGGCTGAGAGAACTGGGATTGTTTAGCTTGGAGAAGAGAAGGCTCCGAGGAGACCTCATTGCGACCTTCCGATATTTGAAAGGAGCATATAGGCAGGAAGGGGAACAGCTGTTCACAAGGGTGGATAGTGATAGGAACAAAGGTGAAGGTTTTAAACTGAGACAGAGGAGATTTAAGTTAGATACTAGGAGGCAGTTTTTATATAGAGGGTGGTGACACACTAGAACAGGTTGCCCAAGGAGGTTGTGGATGCCCCATTTCTGGAGGCATTCAAGGGAACGTACATCAAGTGTTGTTGTCAATGACTTAAAGCAGAAAAAATATCCTCACTTTAATGTAATTAATGCATTTCCTGCCACAAAGTTACGCAGCAGATTGAGCTCTTTACCCTGCCCCATCATTTTTCCTGTCTTAAAAAGCAAAAATGAATAAAACAAATGAAAAGACACACACACAAGAAAACAATACAAAAACATCTGGTTGTAGCAGGTCAGAAGAGCAAATGTTTCATATTTAATCATTTAGATCCATGGGCCTCTTGGGCTTGCTTGGCTACTCATATGAGTCCACTGAAGCAAGGATTTTGGTTTGGAGCCATGTGCCCAGCCAACCCTACCTCATCCTTGAAAAGTCACTCACCTAATGCATGCTGGCTGTGAAAGATATGGCTGCTCAGGAAGCAGCTGACTCAGCTTCACCCTGGAGTACTCTGCAGCCTCAGAATCAAAGCTCTTTTCTATGTTGAAAAACATTGGCTCAGACCTGTGCTCCAAAGCCACCCACATTAAGACTGTTCAGTTAGTTAGATTTCCAGTCAATAAGGAAAGCTGCTGGTAAAAGGGTGTGTGCATGTTTTTAGGAAGTCTTGATCCTGGTCGATTTTCATACCAGACCAAAATCTGCTAGGCATCTTTTGAGATGCTAACTAGATTGAGACCTATGGTGTAGACTGGGCAGTAACACCTAGCCCAGAAATCCTAGAGAAGTGTCAGCGTTAATGGTGATACTGGGTCTGCTGGTGGTGGGATCACACAATTTTCACATGCCCATAGCTGGGCAAGGACATCAGCAGACTTGATGCACTTGCAGAGACAGGAGTGTGCTGGGGAGAAAAGCTGAGGCTCTCAAGGCCATCTAAATATAGGATTCCGTGACTCAGAGTAGTGGTTAGACTTGTAAGTCCCTGTACTGCTTGAGCCCCTGCAGAGCAGGATAAAACAGAGGAGCCTAACTTCTCTTCAAAGCTGCTGAAGAGAAAGCAATTGCCAGAAGACAAGAAGAAAAGACATCCATTAGGCTTCTTTTTCATCCTTTTGTGCTTTGTATTGCAACGAAACTGTACCTCTCTCTCAACTTTTTTTCCTCCTCCCAATCCCCAGAGGAAACCCCTGCTCCTTTTAGAGAAAGAAAACACTAGAGAGGAGAAAAAGTAGCAGGATCTCTCTGCTGCAGGATTTCGCTTGAAGCTTTTTCCGGCTGCAGTGACGGCTTACGGTGCTTATTGCAGCATCGGCACTAATCGTCAGCTCCATCCTAAGATTAACCATCAGAAGCACAGCGTGTTGGCTGCTGCTTGTTGGGACTTCCTGAACAAGTGTCATAGGACAGAAGTCTGGGAAGCTCAAAGTGAAAAAAATCCTGTCTGATTTATTTTAAGAACCAGGTGAGCCATGCACAAAGAGCCCTGCTGCTTCATGCTGCCTTCATGGTTCAAGTCTCTCAAAACGAAACATCTAAGATGCAATACACTTGGGTGGCAAAAAGGACAGACTGCTCCTGGCAGCAATTCTTCCTCATGAGAGCACTTGTCTAACATTTTTTTAATCATTCTTTTTATAATTATTTTCACCCTATGATACATGTTGGATGCACAAAGCCCAGGACATATTGCTGAAACCTACAAAGAGCAACCTTGAAAGGGAAAGAAGAGACAGTGTTGGTATCTGGCTGTCAGCAGGTTCTGCACTGATTACTGTGTTAATTCTGGTGATTACAAATAAAATGATGCTGTGCCTAATATGTGATGCTGGTGCAAAAGCAGGGCTTAGTCTGTAAGACTTGAAAATTCCTGTATTTCACAAGACTAACTTAGCTTCTAAGACAAATTTTTTAAGTGTAATAAATTAGATACCATTAACTTTTCAGTTTAGAAGTGAGTGTAATAGGGCAAAGCATAGTAGGTTATAATATTTAATTGCATACAACCATACTGAGTTTCAGGCTGCACCAGTGCCTCTGTACCACTTCACTGCTGTAACACGGCGAGCTTTTGTGCAGCTTCTGCAATCTATTCAGTATTGACCCGAACTATAAATAGCCACATTATCGAGAGACTGCAGGAGCTTCATTAGAGAAGTTGTGGCAGCCACTCAGTGCTGATCCCAAAGAGCTGAAGCAAGTGGGTGACACCAAGCCCGAAGCGTTTGCCGTGTAGACAAGCCAATGTCACTGCAGCCATCCTCTCTGTCATAGATCACAGAATGGTTTGGGTTGGAAGGGACCTTAGTGATCACCTATTCTAACCCAGTGCTATGGGTAAGGACACCTACAGATCAGGCAGATCAAGCTGCCCAGGGCCCCATCCAACCTGAACACTTCCAGGGATGGGGCACCCACAACTTTTCTGGGCAGCCTGTTCGAATACCTCAACAACCTGTGAGTAAAGAATTTCCTCCTAACATTTGACCTAAATCTCCCCTCTTGTAGTTTAAAAACACCTCCTTAGCTGTGACTCACCAAGCACACCACGCTGGTTGCGGTGCCCATGAGTTTCCTCCCAGATGGCAGCGCGACACTCAGCAGCCTGTGGTCAGGCGGCCACAGCCAGCAGAGCCCGGATGCTGCCAGGGTGGGTGCTCAGGGCCGGGGCCGTGGGACATCCTGCAGGGCGCTGGACCGGCGGCACGGCCACGACCGGGGAATGACTCATCAGCCCAAAGTCACACGCAGGCAGCAGTGCTGTCCTGACTCAATAGGAAGTCTCTGGCTGAAATCAGTGGGACTTCTCACATGCTTGAAGTTACGCGCTGAAAATGTCTCAATCTTGTATGTTATATTCACATAATAGAGGGAAAGAGAAAGAAAAGTTGGGAAGAAACCAATGGCTGATTTTTTTCTGAAGGTAGATGGAAAACAAATGTAGCCGTGAAAACCTGACTTTTTGATTCTTCGCTATTTGTTGCACAGCTTTCTGAAATAGAAGCCCTGGAACTCAGCTAAATGAAGAGCATAGGGCCCAGATAAGGTCTGTGTGCTAGGTTTGCACACAGACCTTATCTGCCTTCTGGATGCTCATTCTGAGGAACTGATAAAACGAGAGAGGTCTACAGTGTCATTCAAAATTATAAAAGAGGAAATATCACTCATTTTGTCTTTCCTCCCCCCCCCACCTTTTAGAAAGAAAAATGCTTTCAGCCACTCAGCCAATTCCAAGCTGTGTATATGTTGCCCGCATTTCTCTCTCACTTCTCTAAATGATCAAGTTAATCATTTCAAAGGGAGAGTTATGCCCTTGTTACATAACCTGAGTACTGGGGAGGGAATTGCCATGTTTTTCTGTGTAATGGATTTGGGAGGAATGGGGAACAATACAAAGCTAGC